GGTGGTGATAATAAGAGTTGGAGATAGTTTTGAAGGTTTCACAAAAAATGTTGAAATAGAGTTGGAATGTGAAGGGCAGAGAGTTGAGGGCAGCGGGGATAGTTGGGAGAAAAGGTAAGTGTTTAGGTGCCTGAGAAAAGGCACAGAGTCAGGACTGAAGGATGGCATGGAATTCAAGAGCTGGAGACAGAATTGACTAGGTTAGGTCTGAGAAGTTTGTACTTTATTCCAGAGGTAATGATGAGGTGAGAAACCGGTGATTTGTAAGTGTAGGCAAATACACTTTTGGTTTTGCTTACGGGTTTTTTTTTTTTTTAAAGTTCTAGTTTTTTCCTCAATTACATAACTGATGTAAGTTAGAAAATTTGTAAACTGCAGAAAAAAGTGAAAAAAAAATCTTACTGATGATTTTTTGCATGAATTTTGGAATTCTTTTTCTACTGAGATAACTTCAAAGTGTTATATATATTCTCTTTGAGGACCTGTGATATCATATACCTCTGTTACTAACCTAGTTGTCTGTTTACTTGCTTGCCACCCTTGCTAGACCTTGGTTAGGGTGCTGAAGTGAGAATAAGGATTTAAAAAAAAAAAATTTTTTTTAAGTTTATTTTTTTTATTTTGAGAGAGAGAGAGAGAGAGAATGAATGAATCCCAAGCAGGCTCCTCACTGTCAGCACAGAGCCCAATGCAGGGGTTGAACCCACGAACCATGAGATCATGACCTCAGCCAAAATCAAGAGTTGGACACTTAACCAACTGAGCCACCCACGCACCCTAGGATGGTTTTTTATCTCTGCATCCCAAGCACCTAGCAGGTCTAGGATATATCGATGGTCATAGAGTGTGTGATCTCTAATCTCACAAGGTCTACTTTAACCAAAGAAAGGGAAAGCCAAAGACCGTGCAGGATTTCTAATATCCACTGTGGATGTAGAAATGAGAACTAAACAGAAAAGAGTGAAAGGGCAGGCAGGCAGCACAGCGCCATATGGATGATAGATGTGCCAGAAAAATCACGAAGTTTGCTTTGGAATGGACCAGCCCACTCATTCTCAACATCACCAGGAAACTGGTTAGAAATGCAAATTCTTGGCTCTCGTTCCAGGCCTACTGAATCAGAAACTCTGGAACTGAGACACTGTAGTCTAAGAAGTACAAGCGATCATGATAAACGCTCAAGTGTGGAAACCACTAGCAGAGAAGAACAGTGAGACTACAGGACTGATGTGAAGACCACATTATAGGAAGATTGGAAACCCACAGATGTGTGTGATGTCAGTGAACATAACCATTGAACAGCCATGGTAGCTGGAACGGGAAAACTAGGACAGTAAGATTATGTTGTTACAAAGAAAGCTGAGTATGTTGTAAATGGACAGGATCTACTGATCTTGTTTAGTTCACTGCCTTCCTGATCTTAGCATTTAGGTAGAGCAGGTAGATTTAAAATAGATTAGTCCTAGGAGAGGGACCCCACATTCAAAATCTACACTCAGATTGTCTCTCCTATATCTCCACACACCTGCCTACAAACTCTAGCTGTCTCATCGGAGCCTCAGATCTCTAAAACTACTGTGGTCATTACCTTTCCCTTCAAACCTGTATCACTGCTTGTGTTTCCTATTTCAACAAATTGGGTTATCATCCACTCAGTTCAGTTATTCTTGGCTTATTTCTCCCTAAATCGTGTCAGTTCTACCTCTTCGTAGCTTTAAAGATACGTATTTTTCTCCAGCCCTGCTGATATCTTTATAATTTAGACCATCATTATTTTCTCATTGATCACTTTAATAATCATTTAACAGTCATCTTAACTGGTCTCTAAGCCTCAAGTCTTTTCACCCTCAAATCTATTGTGAATATGGCCAGAACAGGCTGTCACAAATGCACATTTGATTAGTTCTTTTCTAAAAACTCTCCAGTGACTCCCCATTAACATAAAATAATGTTGATAAAATGCAGCTTCCCCAACTTGGCTATTAGGGGCTTTACCACTGGTCTCCTGTTTCCTTTCCAGCCTGTTGTCCTTGCACCTTCAGGCCTTGCAGCTGCTCACCCTGTCCTTGGAATGCCATTCTCACCGTTCTCTACCAATCTGACACTGCTAGTCCTTCAGGTAGCCACTTAGGTAGTACCTCTCCACGAAGCCTTCTCCGACCTCCTGAGGTCTAGTGTTAAGAATAATGCCTTGAATTTCCCCTTGCGTATCCCTCGTTGCACCTGTTATTGCCTGCTTATTATTTTATATAGTGCATTCTTCCCCGCCCCCCACCACACAACATTATAGTCTCCACAAGGGTTGAGACTGTGTCTGTTCTACCATTACATCACAAGTTCTGACACATTAACTGGCAAATAGCAGATGTACAACAAACATATTGAAATAAGTAATAATCAACAATCTGGATATGGTTGTTTGAAATCATTTTGAAGGCTAATGGGCAGGAATTTGTCTTTTCTATCCTTCACCTACCCCTGACTTTATCCTATTCGTCTAGCATGTGTAGCTTACATCCTGTGTACTGGGCACTGTGCAAGTTGTGAAGATTCACCTGTGACAAGATTCAATCTTTGCAACAGGCTTTATCCTCTAGTGGAGGAAATAGTTTTAAAGTAGTGTGTGTATAGTACATAAAGGCCAAGAAGGTGAAAGAACAGAGTGCTAAGGGAACAACTAAAAGAGGCACCAACCCAAATTTGGGGAGTCAGGAGGAAGTTATGCCTAAGCTATTAATTAAAAATTTAGTACTTAAACACTGAAAACTGAGTTTTTCAATTAAAGAACAGGAACATACTGTTCCAGATGGAGGGAACAGACCATAAATGTTTACTAGGGAACTAGAGAAGGGGGCACCTTATGACTGCGGGTCATAAGATTGTGTGTTCAGAAGACTTTAGTGTGGGGAATGCACTGAAAAAGCACTGAAATAGGATAGGCCAATTAGATGTAATCCAGCAGAGAGATAAGGGCAGCCAGAATTTAGGAAGAGGCTTGCAGGGGAAAGAGTAGTGAATGGATTAAAAAAATATTTGGGGCAAAGAGCAGACCTTGAAGATTGATGCGATTTATAGAGAGAAGAAAGGGAACTCTGTCCTAACCTCCTTCTTTTCCTGTAGTTCCTGGCTAGTATGAGGCAAGGATTTTACAGAATTTTCAGCAAAATCCCCACTGCCATAGCTCTGGGCTGTGGAATTTTGAGGGAGCTGCAGGAAGGGGGCAAAGGTGAGATCACCCCAGAAGGCAGATGACATTTATGGGATAGAAGTATTCCTGTCAAATGTCTGGTTTGGGAGGAAAGCAGCACTAAACAACCTGTTATTTAATAGGCACTTTTGTTTTCTGTACCTGAACTTGTAAAGCATGCAGTCTGCCACTGAGTCATCTAGGATCTGTGAGTAATTTAAAAACATCCCTCTTAAAAACCTCTTTAATTGTCAAAACAAACAAACCTCTTTAATTGTCAAAGATATTCCCTCTTTCAAGAGGTGCAAACTCTATTATAGGATGTACTTTCAGTTCTTTAACTCCTAGCAAATTATATGTAATATCTTTTTAGTAAAAATCATAAATAGAATTTGAAAGGACTTTAGAGGTCAGTTCATCTCAGCCCTCAGTTTTGTAAGTGAAAAAAATAAAGCAGAGATTAGGTGAAACAACTTGTCCAAGATCACCATTGCCACACCATTGGCGACAGTGAATTTCAGTGGGACACCTGCCTCCCTCTGTAACTTAGTGTTCTGTTAGTACGCCAGGCTTTTTGAAGGCCCAGCAATCATTCATGATCAAGCTCCATGTGTTCAGGGCCCATTTTAGAAACTGAGTTTAAATAGATTGCTTGTCATAGTTTGGATTTACCAGTTCTTTAGCAGTAAGTAAAATATCTAAACTGGTCTGTACATTCCTTGACAACAGCAGCCACTGGGTGGCTTGTACATAATAGGCATTTAATAAGCCAGTCATACCTAATTAACTACTAGTCAGTTTTTTCTATTTCTGTAAGGGATTTTTGTCCCCTTAGCACCTATATGATTCTTTAGTGTATTTGTGAAATGGTCCTAGTATATATTTTTACATCATAGTTTTCTTAGAAAACTGTATGGGGGCTCCTGGGTGGCTCAGTTGGTTGAGTGTCCGACTGGCTCAGGCCATGGTCTCATGGTTCGCGATTTAGAGCCCTATGTTAGGCTCACTGCTATCGGCAGAACCTGCTTCAGATCCTCTTTCACCCACTCTCTACCCCTCCCCTGCTCACGCTCTCTCTCTTTCTCTCCCTTTCAAAAATAAATGTTAAAAAGAAAAAACTGTAGGATGTGTACCTTCTTAATATCTTAACAGCATTTCTGTATTCATGTTGCTTTGTGCTAGTATGTATCTTCTACAATAGTGTGATAGCATAATAAACCCTGATTGTGCATTTTAATTTTTTCTCCTAACTTCCTTTATGGACATAAAACATATTTCAGAAAGATTAAATGACTTGTTAAAAAATATACCTTTGGAGTTAGTAGAAGTGCTGGCAATTAAACTGGGGTCTTGACTTACATTCCATGGAATGTTCCATAGAGTTCACTGTATTTATTAAGTTCATGTATTTCTCCATTCCTCATGTTATTATTTAGCGTCATCACTGTTAGCATCAGGATTTTATGATCTCTGCTAAAATATCTGACCAAGGAGAATACTTGGAGGTAATTTGTGGAGAAAAAGGTGCAACTTGCTACACCAGTTATTCCTTTGATGAAGGGTCAAAAAAGGAGGAAAAAGAAAAGAAAAGAAAGGAAAAGAAAGAAAAGCAAGGAAAAGAGCAAAAGGAGAAAGTAAAAGAAAGAGAAGGAAGAAGGTTGCAGTAAGAGGTGATCGCTCACTGCTCTCTGACACCTGCCAGCCCCGTCTGTGGGTCTTGGGTCATTGGTGTACCACAGTCGTAGTCATGTAAGTTGAGGAGATGGTATGAGCTCGCAAACGTCTGATGTTCCCTAATTGTACTTTACCCTAGGGACCTTCAGAGAAGACATGGCTTCCAGAGAAGAGAAGACAAAGAGGACAAACAGAGTGCTAAGAATAAGTCAGTTGGATGCACTTGAACTAAACAAGGCCCTGGAGCAGCTGGTCTGGGCCCAGTTTACTCAGTGCTTTCATGGATTTAAGCCAGGGCTGTTGGCCCACTTTGAACCAGAGGCGAAAGCATTCCTGTGGCTCTTCTTGTGGCGCTTCACCATCTACTCGAAAAATGCCACCGTGGGACAGTCCGTTTTGAATATACAGTACAAAAACGACTTTTCCCCGAAGCAGAGGTACCAGCCACCGAGCAAGAATCAGAAGCTGTGGTATGCTGTGTGTACAATCGGTGGCACGTGGCTGGAGGAGCGCTGCTACGACCTCTTTCGAAACCGTCATCTGGCGTCATTTGGGAAAGCCAGGCAGTGTGTGAACGTCATGGTTGGACTTTTGAAATTAGGTGGGCTGATTAACTTCCTGATTTTCCTTCAGAGGGGCAAGTTTGCAACCTTGACAGAACGTCTCCTAGGCATCCGTTCTGTATTTTGCAAGCCCCAGAGCGTGCGTGAAGTTGGCTTTGAGTATATGAATAGGGAACTTCTCTGGCATGGTTTTGCTGAGTTTCTGATTTTTCTCTTACCACTTATTAATATCCAGAAGTTGAAAGCTAAGTTATCCTCATGGCGTATTCCTCTGATTGGTGCTCCTAACGGTGACAGTACCTTAGCCACCAGCGGCAAACAGTGTTCTCTGTGTGGAGAGTGGCCCACCATGCCTCACACCATAGGATGTGAGCATATCTTCTGTTACTACTGTGTTAAGAGTAGTTTCTTATTTGACATGTACTTTACTTGCCCTAAGTGTGGCACAGAGGTACACAGTCTGCAGCCACTGAAGTCGGGAATCGAGATGTCAGAAGTGAATGCTCTTTAGAAACTAAGACTGTGTCCTCTGAGGAAAACTGTATTGTGTTTAAGCCCTTAGTATTAGTCATGCTAAGCATACTGTTTAGGTGTTTTTTTTCTGAGGGGAGGTGCTTCTCTGCCACTGTCTTCTGTTCCTTTCCAGGCATGACTAAATTCTAATCACTAGAAACCACATGATTCTAAATACATTATGTAAACAATAATGTACTACTTTCTCTAAATCATTGCATTCAATTTTTAGTGTTGAGAGGAGTGGACAGTTTTTGTCAGTATACTAAAAATGCTCTTTCATTTTGCTACTTCCTGGAAAGAGGTTAGATTCTAAAACAATTTTGGAGACTCTGGGGTGAGTGTGTATTTATTTTCAGAGATGGCATTGTAACATAATCTGACATTGATAAAGCCCTGTTGTTTTAAACCTTAGGATCTGATGCCCCAGTTGTAATTTTAAGCTTTTCTCTAAAACCCGATTGTAGGGGGTTCGCTTGGCTTCATTCGCAGGCAAAATGAAGGCCACCAGAAGCTCTAGGCTGATGTTCTGCCAACTTTCTGATCCGCCTGAAGTGAGGGCTTCCTGCCTAATAGTTCTAGCTAAATCTAGGACTCACTGTCATTGGTCTGCCTGGGACTATGTCCACATTTGTGAACCAGGATAGAAAACTACTACTCTTGATTACTCAGATGTGGGTGACATCCTCACGTGTGTCACATGGACCCGTAGTAGGAGAGTAGGCAGTTCACCACAGGAAACTGAAGTAGCTTTGAGAGAATAGTGGACATGGGGTAGGTAAAAACAACAGATCCCTATTAGAGTTTACATTTGCCTTTTTTACCAAAAGTCTGCATGCAGTTTTTAATTTTACCGGTGATCTAAGTTGATGAGGACATAACTGAATGATTAACTTACTAGATTGCAGATTTGAAAGGATTAAATAAATAAAGTCAACACATTTTGTTATAATAACAATTTGGTTACAGTGTTATTTTGGTAAAGTGTGTTCTGAGTAGATGCCCATACTGTCATAATTTTAACATGAAAATAGTATTTTACATATATGCTAACTAATAGAGTTGTCAATATTATGGGGTTTTGTGTTTTTCCAGACACTAATGGCAGTACAATGTATTTTTTTAATTTTTTATTGTTATTTAACATCTCCCACCTCACTAAGTGATTACCCACATGGAGTCAGGGAGTATGACTGTTTTGCTCATAGAGACATTCTGTTAGCTGAACAACAAAACCTAATAATCACAGATCGGGTTTTGTAGAAGCAGATGTTGCAAGGGTTTTGAAGTTCTTTGGCCTGGATTGGGCCAAAGTAGTCTGACCTTCTTACCTACACCTCTGGGTCACTGGCCATGGGCTTCTCTGGGAAGGGTGTGGCCTAGAGCATGGCGCCTCTCTGCAGCTGAGGCAGACCCTAAAGGAGCTGACCCCATCCCCCAGCTGGGCAACAGATCCATCCTGGGAAGAGCTGGGTGTCCAGCCTAGTGTTTACCACACCTAATACTGTCTCTCCGTTGTTTTCCTTCATAGTTTTCCATTTTTGTTTTTCTTGCTTGCAAGCATGCAGACATCACACTAATGGCAGGTAGCCGTTCAACTTAAAACCGTTGGGTTTCGGACTGACTTGTGCACTCAAGTGCTTCAGGGAACTCCAGCTCACTGCAGAGACCTAGGCCTGCTGGCTAAGTTGCTCTGACAGTCCCAAACCCCATTCAGTCCCTGCCTCGCTGTGCACTGCCACGAGACTTGCTTTAACACTGGTGCTTCTATTCCTGTTCCCCAGTGGTCTTAGGGCTCAAGGTGCAGTATAACTGGGTCATATTTAGCTGCATGATGTATTTCTGCTTTAGCCTCAAGAACCTAACTATCATCTGTGAGTATCTCCCCTTGGGAAGATAAAAACTTTTAAACTAACATTGTTTTTCCTCTCCCATGTAACTTGTTCTCAAATCAGATTTGCTACTTGTGTATATAATGTATCCAGTTGCTTCAGTGATCATACCTAAAATAGGTACCAGTCAAAGCTAACCCAAGGCATGTCCTGCATCCTTGCTCCCAACAACCCCCGCCTCAGAACTCAGTTCTTTAACTCCTCTGAGATTCAGCTTGAAATGCTTGCTTCCTGTGAAATGGACATTCAGTTCTATCTACCTTTTAGGACTGTGATGGGAATTAAATAACATCATTCTTTTAAAAATTACTTACGAAGCCCCTACAGGCATTCTTCTATATTCAGAGATTTACTCATAAATAAAAACCCCTGCTCTCATAGAGTTTATATTCATGGAGGAATAATAGACAATAAAGACATATGGAAGATCGTTTCAGATGTTGGAAGTACTCTGAAGTATAAAAGAAATGAAGAGTGACAAGGGATTCTGTTTTAAACTGAATACTCATGGAAGGCCTCTCTGAGGAGTTGAAGTTTGAAAAGACATCAGAATGAGCTGAGGGAAAAAGCCAAGTAGGGGACAGGTGCCGGGATAAAGATAGGGCAAGTGCCCAAGCTCCTAGATGAGAGCCCATTCCTGGTTGAGGAACAGTAAGAAATAGAGTGACAAGAGAGAGGGGTAGGAGGTGAGTGAGGTGAGGGGGCCCAGGGTCAGGCCACGCAGGCCGTAGTGAAAAAAATACCTGGATTTATTCCAAGTACGAGGAAGCCACTGGAAGATTTTAAGCAGAGAAGTTACAAGTTGAGATTTTTAAAGGATCCCTGTCATTAATCTATGGAGAGGTATGAGGAAAAGCCAGAAAACCTAGTCAGAGTCTACAGCAAATAATCATTTGGTATGAACAATAGTTGTTATTATTTCCATTAGGTTTGTGGTACATTAACAGTGTCACTATCTGAACTGGTCAGGAACCTGGAAGTAAACAAAGCTGTAGGAAACCAAAATACATTTTCATGGATTCCACACAGCAAAACTACACTCAAGGTATTTCCTTGAGTCCCCATTAAGAAGCTGCTTTATTTTGAATAGAATTCTAATGAACTTTCAACAACAGAAGAAAATAACAGGTAAGAGGGAGGGAGAAGACTGATGAAAGCAAGCATGTTCACAGTAATAAATAATTAAAAAAAAAAAAAAACTTGTATCAGTGAACAACAACAAACAAAAAAAACCCCTATAATCTGGTGGCAGAGCAGGGACACACAGTCTCTGAGGACCAAATGAATAATGATAATAGTTTAAGAAAATGACCTTGGATCATCAAAGTATACCTTATATTCTGTATAATTTGGTTAAGAAGGCAGGGACATTAGTATTCTTATATTTGAGGATGCCTTCAAGTTATGTTGGCACTTACAGGCAAAAACTTAATTCACTCAGAACATTTGCTTTTAACAAAAAGCTGTTTTTCCTAACAGCACTTAACAAGTGAAGTGTTACTGAATTAAGATCTTTTCAGCAGCAGAACAATTCCAAACACGTTTTTTTAGCCAAACCAGTTGGCCATATTATCTATAGAACTGATGCTCCATGGTTCTCTCCAGCTAAAACTAGTAGATACAGCACGTTTATATTCATCACCAGTAAGTTGACAAGTATTTCGCTTGTATGTCTGGGGTTTTTATTCCTTCAAAAAGCATTAAATCGTGAAATAAGACACTATGCCTTCATGTTTCCAAGTAGTCACTTGTTTTCTCTTGATATTTTTGAGAAAAAGCTGATGGTTTTAAAATGTCATTTTTCTTGAAAGTAAGCATCATTATTCTGTCCAATGGCCTTCATCGAATACTGCCTTGAGTTGTTTTCTGGCAATTAGGACAATTCAAACAAGATTAATACGGGTAACTCCTGAGGCCAGAAAATCCAAAAGCATGGTATTCAATAGGTAGTTCACTTTCCTTCTCATTCGTAATAATTTCTCACTAACAGATTCAACCCATCCATTGCTGATATTCCAGAGCCAATAAAACTGAAATCTGTTAAGTAAAACTGATTTTAAAATCAAATGGGTGTGGACATGTTTATATGCATCGACTTTAGAATTTATCTCAAGGAAATGGTAAGAATTTGGATATAGACTTATTGAAATGAATTTCACCATAGCATGATTCATAATAAACATGGGAAACAGCACAAATGCTTAATAGTAGGGAAATAAATAAAATAAAATAGTATAGCCATTTAATTGACTCAATGTCATATATAAGTACCTTGCAAAATGTGTGCAAAATTATATTAAATGGGAAAAGTGCACACAATGTAATATTGAAGGAAGTTGGATATTAAATATCTCTCAACACCCATATCTGTATCTTGAAATGAGACAAACAGACACCATGAGCTAATAAGCAGACACATACGTATATTACAATAAATGTCTTAGGGTAATTCAACTATTCATTAATCTTCTTTACGTTGCCTTTTATTTCCCAAATTTTCTATATTGAGCATATAATATTTCTTGATTACACCAAAACCAGCTGTTTGTTTGTTTGGGGGCGGGGGGCGGGGGGGTGTAGAGAAAGAGAATCCCAAGCAGGCTCCTCACTGTCAGCATGGAGCCCGATGAGGGGCTTGAACTCAGGAACTGTGAGATCATGACCTGAGCCAAAATCAAGAGTCAGACGGTTAACCAACTGGGGGAACCAGTTATTTCTTTAAAATCTTGGCCAATTTTGTTTCATTCAATTAAAAGGTAAAACATCTGCACAGCTAGTAAGCAAGTTAATGTGACTTTAGAAGATAGAAGATCCTAAAAACCTGAGAGTATCCATTTTTTTTTTTTTTGCATGACAATAAAATCCTGCCTTTCTGGCCAACCATAACTTGAAATAGTCTGAATTATTTCATACATTTTGAATTAAATATTAAACTTGATTCCACATAATATATACATTTCTTAACCAGCTAGAAGTATATAGGCAACAGAAAGGTAAAAAGTGCCCACTCCCTTTTCCAAAAGTATTTGATATTTTTATATAAATGCATGGTATTTTTAAATAAATGTAGTTTACTTATTTTAAAATATCTAGAACTCATACACCAGATCAAAACAATTGACATGAATATATTATCAATTCGCCTAAGCCTGTAAGATGCCTATGTTTCCTCAACTAAGAGTCAAGACCCAGGCAGGATCTGACCCAAGATTGTATATTCCTCCCAGATATGGATACAAAAATGCTGATATTTCTGAGGTATTTTG